GCCCCTGACCCGAAGGGCGAGTCCAGGTGTCGGCCTGGCGAGCCTCAGAGGGCAGTCGCAGTTGGCGGTGAGCAACTGGCTGCCGCTGCAGCTGGCCCTTGGTTGCAGTAGTTGTCGTTGGGGCCAGTTGCTGGCGCGCAACCAATGTCCAAACCTCCGGCCCTTGGTCGCCCTCATTTGCCAGGCGCGGCACCGCGTCCGCGCGCAGCGCGCCGGCAGCAGCTCGACCACTGAAGACCCCGCCGATATTTCCCGCAGAGCGCTCAGCTATGTGTCCGCGGACCGCCGCTGCGCATTCGCTCCGGCAATTAGTCGCGCTGTCGTTGGTTTCGGGGCACCTGGTGGTTGAAGGTTGGAGTGGCTGCGAGGCTCGGGAGGTGCCTACCCCCATTGCCCGAAGCAGCAGGAACGCCAATATCTGGAAATTCGGGATGCTGGTTTCAGCCGAATCCGCATCCAGCGCGGCCATGTCGAAATCGGGCCAGCACCGAATCGATACGTTCACCTCGGTCGACCCTGAAGTCGACGAGGGCTGTTCCTGATATAAGTTGTCGCTCGCCCCAGAGATGCTTGATACTTGGAGCTGAGGAGAAACTTGATGCATGTAACACCGCCGGCGCCGTTCACTGTGCGCCGAAGTTGATGACCGAGAACGGCGCTCTCACAGCCAGGGCCCTGGCTAGTCCTCTAAGACCTCACTGCAAAGCAGCAGCCTGTTGCGGTGCAATCAGCGCTCTTCTCGCTGCGTTGGGCCGCGCGCGCCACTCGCGAACGAATTCGCGGAGGGGTACGTTGCCAGTGGGGGGGGGGGGGGGCGAGGAGGCGGGGGAGGGGGGGGATTTTTTCTGACCCTCCAGCCTTTGGGACGGGCCCCCGCCGCTCCGCGCCGCCTCTTCGCAGGGCCTGGCTCCGCCGCTGGGCTCGGCGAATCCGCTGGGGGCATCTCAACCATGACGTCGACAGCCAAAGTGCGAATCCGATCTTTGCAGGCGCGGCCGAGTGGGCCGAACCAGCGAGTAGCTGCCTGCAGGACGAGTCGGAGCGAGAGGCAGCTCGGGTCCCGCGCAGCAATCCAAGAACGCACGACATCAGCAATGCCGTCGTCATCCGCAATCACAGTCTCGGAGTCACTGTCCACGTGAAGAGGGTCTGGAGCAGAAGTACTCGCGCACATGGGTTTTCGAAGTCCATCATCGGCGGCTCCGTGCCTCAGGACCTCGGGGCCCCCATCTTCCCTGTGCTGACACAGCGGAGCCACAGCGTCGTCAGAAAGAGGGGCACGGATAGGTGCCACGTAGACTTCGGGGCCCCCATCTTCGCATGTCAAGCCCACAGAGACCACAGCATCGGCAGACGCGGACTCGACCAAGCCAGTAACAAGAGCAACCAAGGAGGTCATATCCGACATGTACTCCCCGACGAGTGCAGAATCAGATATTGCACCTGCACTATGCCGAGGACCGCCAGGAACAGCACCACAAATGGGTTTTCGAAGTCCAACATCGACGGCTCCGTGCCTCAGGACCTCGCGGCCTCCATCTTCCCCATACTGACACAGAGGAGCCACAACATCGTCGGAGAGAGCCCCAATATCATCTTGAGCATCGGCGCAAATGGGTTTTCGAAGTCCCTCGTCGGCTTCAGCGGAATGCCTCAGGACCTCGGGGCCTCCATCTTCCCCACTCCCACTCCCAGGAGCTACTGCGTCGTTGAGATGAGCCTCAGCCGTGTCAACGGCGAAATCAGCAAAGAGATGTGTCTCATCTGGACCGTCCGCGTCAACATAGACAGTGTCAGAGAAGGAGGCGCGAATAATATCATTCATAATCACCATTCTTCCTGCAAGAGCAGGATCGCTGTCTTCCCACCCAGAACGCAAAACAGCACCAGGAACACTATCGCGAATGGGTTTTCGAAGTCCCTCATCAGCCTCTCCATCTTGCCTCGGGACCTCGGGGCCTCCATCTTCCCGATCAGAGCCGCCAAAAAGCACCGCGTCGTAGTCGGCATCAGATGGTAGCAATGTGCCTTCAAGCACGTCCCAACCATCGTCCGTCTCAAAAGGCTCATCGCCGCAATCGTAGTGCACCATGTCGATTGCGTCGTTCGCGGGGTCGCTGGTGGCTTCGTAGGGTTCGTCTCCAAATTCATAGTGCATCGAATCGATGATATCCTCCTGTGGGTCATCACGCGGGCGGTCCGAATCCTCATCTTCCCCAGAACCATCGTCACCCACCACCCCAGCCTCCAGCGGTCCACCGCACAATTCTCTAAGGAGTATGTCCGCCGCATCACCTGCACGGGGAGGGAGACGAGAGGAACTGGAGCAGCCGGCACAAACTCGGCAGCATGAGGATTCAACTTTCCACCAACAACATCGACAGGATCAATATGGTCAAAAATCCGAATCACCAAAGCTGTGCTAGGGGGAATCGTCCAGCGCCGATGCCGCGCACTGTTACCTCGCATCCGCATCATGTCCATCCGAGCCCAAGCCGCGTGAGAGAAAACACCACGCTCCTGCGCCATGTCCAGCATACCGTGCAGCGACCTACAATGAGGGATACCATGCACAAGCTCCAGAGAGCGCTGCAAACTCGAAGACTGCGCGATGTCGTGCATACGACGTTGCATGGGGAAGTCCATCGAAGGCGCGACCAGACCGTGGTCCAATTCATGTCCAAGAGCAACAAGACTGAGTGCAGCCTGGGCGAAGTGTGCTGAATTATGCATACCAACCTTAGCGGTTTCCCCAAGGCATCGCAGAGCACCAAGAGAAAAAATAACCGCTCTCCGATCAGCAGCCTTAGCACCCCCTGGCGCCAGGGGGATCACGGAAGTCGGCATCAATCACGTAGCACCGAGGAGCACGTACATCACGCCCACTGGGACACAGACGCCGTGCGCCGAGGGGCACGGCCAGCAGACACCATGGGGCACGGACGCGCGGGCCGCGGCAGGCTCTTGAGCCAAAATGGCTACGGAGGCGGGGGAGGGGGAGGAGGAGGAGGAGGAGGAGGAGGAGGAGGAGGAGGAGGAGGAGGAGGAGGAGGAGGAGGAGGAGGGGCCCCTGGTACGCGCGTCGTCCATTCCTCGTTGCGTGCACTCTACTGCTCGACCAGCACACACACAAGTAGTAACCTTGATGTAGCGCATGGTCGAAGGATTGCAAAAAAAAACTCAGGATTGCAAAAAACAAAAAAATGTTTTTTTGTTTTTTTGCAATCCTATGGTCATGTTAGTTCCGGTGGTGTCGTGGTCGTCGTGTTTGTGGGCTGACTTGGCCGTCCGCTGTTCGTGCTTGTGTGCTGGCGTGGCCGTCAACTTTGGGATGGGTGCAGGGTTCATGTTGACGTGTTGCGCCTGGCCGCGCTGTGGCAGGATGCAGCTCGTAGAGAAAGACTGGGACGATGAACTACAAAATGGTTGATGGTAGTGGCTGAGAGCCGTGGCACACACGTGTAGGCCGACGTGACCGTCGGTCGCCGTGATGTCACGTGTAGGCCAGTTTCCTGGCTCAGATCCCCGAAGGGGACCAAGGGCAGCTGGATGTACCACTATAGAAGTAGTCCACCACTCTGCGACGTGGAATACCCGGGATTCGGCAACAACGTCAGACACGCGAATGTGAGGCCAGCTCCGCTACCAAGTCGACGTGGGCATGGTAAACCGTACCATACGATACGCCGGAAGCGCAATATTGCATCCAATAGTTATCCACAGCAGGTAGCACACGGCATTTTTTATACATAGGATTGTTTAAACATATCGGATTCTAATACATGATTAATGTATGAGTATATTTATGCATGAACTCATCGTTGTTTGTAATACTAATAAAGCCCTGCAGGTTGAATAAATGATCCGCACGCGGAGCATGTATTAAAAACGGCACTGTAGAGATGAGGGATGGGATCGGAGGGTACACCGTCGACATATCGCTTGCGTTCGTCAAGCGCGTTCGTCGCCCGAGAACGGGGCAGTCATACGTTAGGAGGTGGCCGCTTGCGACAAGCGGCGGCGGACGCGGGCGCGTGCCTCGCAGACTCGCCTTTTTAACCCCTGT